AATTTATTTATTTCATTAATTTAATTCTAGTATTAATAGAGGTCTATTAACACATCCTTATAACTAGTTGTCTTAGTTTATCTAATAATAATAGAGTAATAGAGAATAAATACTGCAGAAAAAAAAAAAGGAATTCTTATTACTATTATTGGCAAATTGATCAATTTCTTATTTACAAAGAATAATTGTCCAAACAATTAATTTAAAACAAATTATTATTTTTTCTATACATTTATATTGTTTAATTATATTAGAATCAAAAACATTTGTTTAATCAGATATTTCAATGATTTAGAAATGTTTTATTTAAACCTTTATTTCCAAATAATTTCACCTCCGTCCGGTCAATAAAATAATGTAAAAAAAGATGGCCACAGTTTTTTCATAACATGTGGATTTTTTTTGTTCGATCGATATCATAAATTCTAGCAACAGCCAGTAATGTTAACAATAAATGCTTTCAATGTTACTGCGATCAAGCTAGCTCGTCTTAAAGTTTTCATTCTTGCATCCTTCATGCAAAAAAAAAGTACACGAGTTTAAAATAAGCGACAGTTCGCGCTCCAATTGTTCGTCTGAGACAGGTCAGAATGATGCAGTATTTATACCATTAAATAACTTCAATTTACTGCTCTGTTTTAACATCTCTCCCAAATCTCTGCCCAATTTTTACTTTAGTCACTTTTATATTTTCCCATATGTCTCAATTAACAGAGTTATCCCAAAATAATTCACGAAAAAAATCATAACTTTCTTTAGAATTGACCTAAAAACATAAATTTGGTATCAATGAATTGCATTTTTCAGGCCCTATCTAACCAACTAGCTCTTAAAGCGATAACTTCATTTTTAAAATTTTACCCAAGTACCTAACCATTGTGATCGGAATTCTTCAGTGAACAGAGTTTAAGACTGAAACTGATTTATTTTTAGAAAATGATGCATAGGAACGACAAAGCCCGACATATACCTAAACCCGCCCTTCACTGCTGGTCACAGAAATGTACCACGCAAATAATTAATTTAGGTTTGACTCTGCCCATTAACATTAGGAGAAATGTTGAACTACATTCCCATTGATGAGTTAATTTATTGTTCTTTATCTCAACTTTAAGTGAGGAAAATCGTATGGCAATATAAGGCATCTTTGCATTAAAAAATTCGGTCTTAATATTGAAAGTAGGTCTTTCATATTAAAATTAGGCTTGCATAATTTGTTGAAGTACACGTGTGCAAAATTTCATTGAGATAGCTCATGAAACATTTTCACAATTCTCAACGATGACCTCATTATGCAAAGGTCGCACAGGCCATTTTGGATTAGTGATTCTGCCCCCTTTTAAATAGCTGAAAACTTAGCTAATGAAATATTCATTTGGGGTCATCGCTTTCAACTTCACTTACTTAATTCATGCGGTCCATGTTAAAAAATGTCAAATTAAATCGTACTTTAAAAATTCATAACATTAAAACTACAACAGCTAAAAATATGATTTTGGTGTTATCATTCTTTAAAAAATTAGCTTTATTCAACTATGCCATTGGTTTATTTTTACAAAAAGTTTTAATTTTCTAATCAACTAATCAAAGTACCTACAACTGCCTGTATTTAATTAATAAAGAATACACGTAATAAAATACGAAAAGCGTTAAGAAATAATATACGCACCTGAACTCCACTTTTACCCAGTATGGTTTGTTAGAAATTCAATAAGTTAGACTAATATCAAATTACAATTACAGATAAGACAGTTCTGTGGCCGATTTGCCGCCAAAAAAAAAGAACAGTAAAGCAACTTTGATCTTGATTGACTGATTGATGTCCTGTTAATGATTATAGAACTATATTTAAAATAGAACTTACAAATACCATAAAATTATAAACGTATTCTTACTTTCTTTCACATTACGTCACATTTTTCTTCGTTTTTCTTCAGAGCTACGGAAAGTCTTGAAAATATGGTATATTTCTCGATTGATAATAATGGCGACTAAGATGGCAACTAAGATGGCAACATACAGGAAGCAGGGCTGCCACTCACTTTTTTTAAATTTCCCAAGATTCGGTCATGAAATTTCCCAAGATTCGGTCATGAAATTTCCCAAGATTTCCCAAGATCATAAAGGATATAGGAGTTTTTTTGTAAAGGTGGGGGAGGGGGGGG